ACGAATTCGAACATGCATAGAGGTTTGTGTGGAGAGATTAGCGAGTAAGAGAGAGGAGTGTGCCCGGAGGGAAGGCACACATGCACACACACCCACAAACCATCGATCGTCGGTGCAGCAGCAGCAGTGGCCTGAAAGTGATGGGGAGCACAACTAGAGCTATGGGCTCTAGACCTGGAACGTGCTGAAGCCGCGAACAGCCAGCTGGCCGGCCGTCCGGCCATGCTTAATAGGCGGGCGCTTGCTGCTCTGAGAAGGCGGCGCTTCCAAGCTTCGTGGTGACTTTGGTAGTTTTCCTTTGTGTTCTGCTGTTTTCATCTTTCGGTTATTGCCCATTATCGTCATCCGTCGCTTCCATACAATGTTATCTGTACGACTTAGGCACCAGATCACCCATATCATCTGTATCGCTGTGGTGGTTCGTTGTTCGTCGAGAAATTTGGGCCGGCGCCAGTAAACATTCTATTTCTCTGTCGCGTACAGGAATTGCCCACTAGGTTCTGTTCTCACTATGGTCTTGTTGAGCTTCATATTTTTCCACTCGGGTTTTCGTGAAGAACTCCGACCATTGCGTCGGTAGTCTGCCTGCTATGCGTTTGGCATTGCGAGGAATATGCTTGAGAAATCAGATTGAAATTTTCCTTTACATTTTCGATTGGATTGTGTAGATAGTAATATTAAAGGTGGAGCAGTGAGATTGCTTATTTGGCAAAGTCTCGCTAATAGACAGTGACCAGTTTCGTCTGCACCGTTTTTTTTTTTTTACTAAAAGGACGTTGAAGGGTACGGTCCAAGTTTCTTGATTGAAGTGGTAACCCATGATGGGACGTGAAAATAAGAAGTGCAGAGATGGTTTATTAAAACAGTATTTTCGGGATTGGTAGAAATTTGGAGTCAGAAATGTTTGTCTCACATTGGAAATGCTTTATTTCAAATGGCCTTCAATTTGCTCTTCAATGATACCGTCCTTTCTTTAATTTTTCAGGTTTAGCTATCTCTGCACCTCAGAATTCTTCTATGACATGGTGTTGCATAGGGATTCTGAGATCCCATTTTTGCTATGTGATGTAGTATCCTACCATTTTTGATAGTAGACATTCAGAAATTCCCTTTTTTTTAAATAGATGATTAGATTACTTCTGTTCACTTTCGGAATTTCGTTTTAGGCGTATCTTCGGCAGCTCACATCACCAGAAGGACCACAATACACCCTTGAGTCCGACATTTAGGAAAAGGTTCAGCGAAGTTAGTTTTTGATGTTGTCGAGTTATTTACTTAATATTTCTTGGCTATAGTAAGACTATTAGTAACACAAAGTCTTCTACTATTTTTGTAGTTTCCCTGAATTCAAGACCTAGAACTGATTATTTCGTCGTCAGCTGTTCAGTTCTAGCTGTCACTTTTGTTCGTTGGTCACCTATTTAGCCTTGGAAATTGATTTTGATAATTGATAATTTCGTTTTGCACTTCTTTTGTGCCCAAATGCATCTCCATAGAGTTCTCTAGAAGTATGCGTTTTTTGTTCTATAATTTATCAGATGCTTTAGACCTTTTTAGCTTCAGTTTTTTCCTTAAATTAAATTAGTGGAGTGAGTTTGCAAAACCCTCGAAATACTTTAAAATACATGGAAGTTAACGACTATATTTCACGTCATTCGATTCTATTAAAGCTGTGAAATTCTCGGAAAATATTGATTTCAGGAAGGTCCACGTGCCGTGCTGTCGAATTGTGACGCTGAACCACCACCGGATTCTTGTCCAGCGCAAACGGCCGTGCAAAACACTACACCAGAATCGTTGGCGGACGGTTCACTTTTGCCTGAAACGGATTCTAATCTGTCTGCTTCCGTTGACGAAGGCTTACCGCCTCCAATGGATGAGATTACCCTTAATAACTCGCACATAGTAAGTGAAATGAATATGTTATCATCAAAGTTATACTGAAGAAAAGAAGAGAGATTAGAGATGAATGAAGGAGAGATGAAAAGAAACCGTTGTGATCTATGAACTGATTTATTCCTGCCTAAGATGGTGTATGTTTTAGTTTTGTGTATTAAGAATGCAAGCACATATGAAAATGTTTACATTTGAGGTGCTTTGGTTCTCTTTTTTGTGCTGCCATATGATCACTCACTGTTCCTTCTGGAACTTTTGCATACGCCTGAGAGTAAATGGTTTAAAACGAGAACTTGCTTCATAGGAAAAGAATCTTAATAGATCGATGAGTCGAATGTTCACTATCAAGCGATTAGAACTCTGTTTACTTATTTGTCCGCTTTTTTTTTTGTTTATCCGATTTGTCTGGGATGGAAGGACGGGTGAAGATTCTTGCGCGATGAGTTTGACCTCCTGCTGGACTGGTCAGTGTAATGCCTATTTTCTGCTATTATGTCCATTATAAATTACAATAATTGCTTTTTTAAAGGTGAAAGGAAGGAATGTTGGTGAAATCAGCTCATTCGCCAGAACGCAGAACGAAATGCCAGCCATAGAATATTTTGGTGGTTTTCGTTTTAATTTGTAAGCTCTGGGTTTACTGGAATACATTTTAGCATCCCTTTAGGCTGAACCAGCAATTGCTCCTCTTTCATTCGGCTTTGTTTTGCCGAAGTTCTGTTGTTTTTCTATTCATTGCTCCAATGCATTAATAATCCTCAAGATAATGGATGAAAGCATTCGGAGATCATCTCAAAACAATACTAATGAATGTTTTCAAATTGGCTTTTAATTTAAGTTTTTAGTTGTTTTTTTGTGGTTTTTGGGTGCTTTAAAGAAAGGAAAAGAGAATGATCGAAGAGAACAAAACAGCCGTCCTCGCCGTTATTTCGGAGAACTATTTACGAAAGAAGTTACCGTAACGTCGAATTTCTTCTTTTGAGTCCAGCATGTCGGTTTATACAAAAACATTGGCATCATTTAAGATGAGCAGTTTAGAAAAGTGTTACAGAATTGTCTTTAGAACTGAGCTCTTTGGGATTTTCCATTCTTTACGTATTCTGTTATGAGTTTCTTTTTAGCATCTTTCGGAACCTTTCATGTTTAAAGTAAGTCTCTAGACTTTATTTCCTCTGATGTAGTTGGCTGGATGCGGCAGAGCTGAGGCGGACAGCGGTAATATAATTTGCTTCGGCCAGTCAGTCTGGTTTTCGTCCCGATTCTACCCTCATCACTTCTTTCTCGTGCTCTTTAGAGTGAGTCCATAAATTTGGTAAGAGGAAAATGGGTAGGACAGAGGAGAAGCGATGGTAGCCTTATTGCAATTAGGAGGAGTTGCAGATATTTTAGAATCTAGTATTCCATATCAAAATTCGTTTTTTTTTTTTGAGTTGTAGAACAGTAGCAACTCTAGCCACTTCATTTCTTTCCTTGCTAACTAATTTTGTTCTAGATTGCTGAGTCATGGAAGCTAACTAGTATGTGGTTTTATGTAGAAGCACACTTTTAAGGAGACTAGTTTAAGAATTGCTAGAGTTTGATGGATTTTTGCTGTGTATTACGACGATCGTATTCGTGGATAGGATTCTGGATGTTTTCGTAACAGCAAAAATTGCGTTATTTGGCGAATACTGCGGTACTTTTGACATTCAGTGAGATACAGCTTCACGAGCATTCAGCACTTTATGTCAGAAACTTCTCTCAGATTCTAATGACGAATTATCCTTATTGCTGGACGAGCTCCATTGTTAGCGTCAAATCTGTCCTCTTTTTTTCTCTTACACCCATCTTCTGTTTTTATATGTAAATTTTCTTTTTCATGATGAACAGTAATGAATGAAAGGGCTTAAAGTAGCTTAAATTTCCCCGATCTACATCACTTTAAGCTCACACAAAGAGGAGACAGAAGCAAAAATATAGCCTGTCTTAAACAGAATGTTCTTTCTGTGTATAATTCCGGGACGTTTACCGTAGTTTTTAAGAGTTTCTTTTTCAAATTTCGCTTAAATAAGTTCCGTAATAATTTGGAAACGACCTCCTGTTCAAAGGACTTATTATCTATCTATAAATTTAATTTACAGTAACAATTAAGCAAGTAGTTCACGAACACATTCATATGAATTACGGATAATTTTGTTCAGTTTGTTATGATTCTGTTAAGATTATAGCGTTTACTGACGCAGCGAAAACTCCATTAAGGCTACGAGTACCGTATAAGTGTCAATTGAGTTAATTCATTAAGTCCGAAAGGAAAGCCGGTCTTTATCATTTCCATCTTACTTCATGTATACGTTTTTTTTTTTCTGTCGTTACTCATTTCTTTGCTTTATAATGAAATTGGATTCGATAATGAGAAAACTATCATTGTCTGGCTCATTCAACTCTACATACCACCGACTTGTTTTCATGCGTTTTTTATGGTAATTTTTGGCACAGATATTTTGCTTTAAGACGTTTTAAAAAGCATTTAAAGACCGTTGAGGAATGCGTTTGTTGTTTGTGATGAAAATGAGAAGGATTGTTGTTGACTGAATGTGGAAAATCTCATATATCATTACTCTTTTTACGCTTGATCGCCGCCCGCCGACAATGAGAATGAGAAAAATCCGATTCGTGGGCGTTTTCAATGTTACTTTGTTTCTGCGAGGTACTCAGTAATTTGTTTAATTGAATCACCATTTTATAGACTTCAACTTTTTAATGCAACTAGACGAAACTAGTTTTTCTCAAGTTCTCATTGCTTTTACGGTAAAGGGTGAAAAAAAAACTTAAAAAGTATTATTGGCAGGTCTTTTCTGAACATTTTCATTTTCGTCAGCGACTATGCTTTCTGCCGAAAGTCTACCTCTCTTTTTTGTGAGGAAAAAAAAACTTAGGAGAAAACTTTCTGCAGAAGACCATAGTTAGTATTGATTCCGTACTACTGTTGTTATTAGTGCACACATGTTCACAGAGAGAAAATCCTTTTGATACTGGTGTTTTAAAGTAATTTTTCAATCGAAATGCTTTCAAGTAAGCAATTTTTTCCGTTTCTCATTTAGGTTAGTTTATTACGGTAAAGTTTCTTGGTCATTAATGGTTGTGTTGATGGTAAAATATCACGAGACGTTTTTTTTTAGAATGAAGATGCGGTACAAGGAACGACTGATACTCCGGAAGAGATAAGAGATAGCGTTGAAGATGAATCCCTTGAGAAACAAGAGAAATCACCAGAAGAGATGGCTCGTCTAAAGCGACAGTCAGTTCTGTACTTATTAACACATAATTGAACGTGCGCATGGATGCATAAGTGGGTTGTCGGAGCGTAACGTCTCTTTTCATTTCAATGTATACTCATTATCACTTTATTCTACCGCAGAAAGCTTATTTGTTATGTTTTTGGATTCAATCTATAAATTATCCAACACATGTGCCGAGCATGGTCCACGAAAACCTGTACTCCGTAATTTAGTAGTTTACCAAAAAAAAGTTCAGACGAGTACCCAGCGGTCGTCACATAAAATTGGGCCGAGTCAGGTTTGTTAAAGATATAGGACATATTTGTATTGCTTGAATACCTAAGAGATTGAAAGTAAGCATCTCTAGTTGTACTAATTGTTGCCACGTCACCTTTTTCGAGCTATTTGCAAATAAATAATGTCTTTTCGGACGACCCGGCTCAATACGATTCTCCCAAATCGATTTTATTCTCTTTCCTCTGAAGTACTGAGTGTTTAGATATGTCCTGATGGAATTGGTGGAAACCGAAAAAGACTATGTAAGAGATCTGTCGTCGGTTGTTGATGGTTATATTGCGAATCTCGAACGAATGGGTCTACCTGAAGATCTTGTTGGAAAGGACAAAATTATATTTGCGAATATTGCGCAAATACTGGAATTCCACAAAAAGTATGTTCTTCTTCCCTGTTTGTTCTTCTGTAGAAAATCGTTACATTTCTCCTCTTCCGAATGGGAACTTTTTTTCGTTTTAGCAGTTTTTTGAAAGAAATTGAAAAGTGCCTTGATAACTACGAAGTCGCCGGAAGTGCCTTTGTGAAATATGTGAGTGTTTTAACTATTCTTAAGTTTTGTAGCGTTTAAATCAAAAATAAAAAAACAAATGAATGTTATTTCGTTGATGATAGTATGGGGTGACTTTTATTCGTTAATAAAGAAACCCTTCAGGTGATGAATGTTAGAAGATTTTACGAAAAAGTGAAATCTTGTGAATGCAAGTTTCTGGTTGTCTGATCTGATAGTTTAGAATTCATTGGAAAGGCTTCCATGCATGCAGTTGATGGTTTTCATGTGATATCATATCAGTTTATTATCTCTATAAATGTACAAATCCTATTCAAAAGGGCAGTACTCTCACACTTAAAGACGATTCTAGAAATTTTTCTGATATAGCGATGTGAATATTGATGTGAAAAAACGTTTTGTTGCGATATAAGCGCTGCGAAATGTTGAGAGGAAGACGTGTAAAGCAGATGCTACACTTTTTCCATAGATGTTCTTTTAGTTATCGATTTTTGCGTCCAATCTATACCTCTGTTTTTCTAGATATAGAATAATTTCATTAACAGACTCTAACAGAAGTCTTTAATCGCTACAGTTATTTTTTCTTTTTACTAGTACGACGTTGTTTACAAAAGCAGATAATTTGATTTCAGAAGGGAAGACTGGAGACAATGTACGTACGATATTGTCAGAATAAGCCCAAATCGGATTATCTCGTTTCTCAGGAGGATTTTGAGCAGGTGCGAACACTATTGAAGATGTTTGGATTGAAATACTATTATAACTTTTCAGTGTTTTTTTTTAATGTAAATATGGTAAAAGCTGAAATCCGTGTGAATTTGTATGAAGGATTTAGTTCCTAAAGCACCTACATAACCAGCTTCATGAATGCACTTTTTCTTTTTTTGATGTGTTCACTGCTCGTGCTTTGCAATTTCCTGTTAAGAAATTTCCTTATCAATACTCGAGGAATCAATGCGTTTTCTTTAGGAAACTTTATACACGTTTTTTATTCGAATTATATACTTGATACTTGAACGGCCCGTTCTCACTAGTTGTGCGGGCCCCAGCACAATCACCATTTTTCGAAGATTTGCTGGTTAAGCCATTGTGGTTCCCTAGAATGCCGAGAACAGCTTGGCCAAAGTCTGCCCCATGTCGTTACTACGACAGGCAGTCGCAGCCTTTGTGGATCAGAGGGAGATTTGCTACCATGCGACTTTGATACTAGGACGGTGGTGAGTCTTGGTATTGGTTTACTCTTAGCTAGGCTTCGTGATGGAAACGCCGGACTACTTCTCAGCTTGGCAGACCCTGCCGTGGGGACGAATCTCTCCGCTGTACATCGCAGTCCGACACCCAGGAACACCTCCCAGCCACGATCAGGCGGTAAACCGTAGGGAGGATTCGAGTTTTATACACATATATGTAATTTTATTACATGAGTTTTATTAGAAAAGAACGCAGTGCTTAGAAGTTCATTGCAATGGATACTGGATTAATCGTTAGTTCGATTCTACGCCCAGTACCATTCCACCTTCCAACCCTCCGGGGCGGCAAATTCGTACTAGACTTGTTTGAGAGAATAAAACATCGATGTGATACATCATTTGTCCACTGCAAGTCATTGTATAGGTCAGATATGTATTGTTCAATACTGTCGACGATATTTTGTGAGTCGAATTCGAAGTTGAATGCAAGGTTCATTCCTTACAGATTAATAAACATCGACCTTCAATGATTGTTCTCATTTCTCGAATCTTTTAAAGAATTCCATCACTCAAGGCCATTTTTTGGACTTAAATTAATATGAGTGAATGCGATTGTTTTGTAATTCCTCATAACGCAATAAAATCACAGCAGAGATCCGTACATTTTCTCATCTTCAGCGCTATTTATTGCCGGATTTTCAGGAGCAAGAAATCGGAATAGGTTTTTCCTTTGTGGTTTTCACTTGTAGGATTCCTGGAGGCCGTAAAACCATTCCGAGTTTATCCACTGTTCAAGAGTGCGCCATGCATTTAGAGACTTACCAATCTCAGTGCTGTGCCAATCTCAGTGTGTCAGTGCTTTTTTCCATACCAATCAGATACATCTGGTAGCAATTTGCCGACCAGATGAGGGTGAAGAACTTTGCTTGGCCCTAGTTGCGAGGTCGAACCAGGTACCATGTGGGTACCAGGTACCACAGCGCACCTTGCACGCGATCATGTTGCTTGATATAACGAATTTAAGGAATTTTTTCTTCTATTTTAGAGAGATCATTGGGATTATTTCATAAGTACGCTGGCAGTTTTATATATGGATGTCTTGTTCTGCGCTTTTACTTATGAGTGCTTTATATTGTCACAAAGGCTTTGATCATGGTTAATATCAGTTGTATTTTGGATGTTTGTGCAGACACCTGTGGTCCGGAGTTTTGCAAATATCTCAGCTTCATTATGCTTGTAGTTCACATAATACCGTGCCATGAAGAATTGTAGTGGGCAGTAACTAAAAAGTTAAGATTGTAATGTCGACGACAGCGTTAGCCTAACCGGATTCAACGCCGATTTGTGTTTCACAGATAAATCCCTTTGACGGGTGATTGGTGATAGCACTGGTAGATAGAAAAGCAGGTTGAAGACAGGCGAAATGAGGGACCCGCAAGGTGTGGTGGTTGAAGGCGTTATCCCCCGGAAACGGTGATAGCTTGTTCGATCCCCACAGTAGACTCCTGTGGTGCGGAGTTTTGCAACTATCTCAGCACCGTTGTGGTTATCAGTTGTATGGTCCATGACTTTTGCGTCATTTTAGAATACAAATGCTTGCAAATTTCTGTTGGCGCTTTTTCTCTGCCGTGCAAACCACTTTCTATTCCATTTAAGTGTGTTCTGAAATAATATATAGCAGAAGTATAAAAGCATAGTGGTGCATAGTGGAGAGTATCATTGAGCAAAAATAGGCGATCTACGAAGTCGAGCTGTTTCACAAGCAGTTGTTCCAGATCAGCGAACTCTGTCGCAGGAAAAGTCGTAGTCGTATTTGGTATGAGTGTTACAAGAGAATTGGCGGTATAGTTCTAGTTTTTGTGTTTCGACGTAGGCAATACTATGTATCTTGATCTCGACAACGAGTTTCAAACTGGCCGGCGAACTCGAGCTACTTTTAAAATCGAGCGCATTCGAATTAGTAGAAGCACTGAGCTTCCCTGATGTCATCATCGGTTTGTATCCAGTTAGATGGATGTCTGCAAATTGGGCTTGTTTTACGCCTCGCACTTTAAGAGAGACTACGACCGGTCGTGCAAGATGGCATCTATGATTCTTCATCACTTCGCTCGTTCGATTTTAAAGGGTAGTCATAACAGGGGATGAGAGTCAGGTTTATGATGAAAATCACACACCGTCTTTTTTTTTCTTCCAGGAGCGAGAACTCATCACTGCAGTTAATATCGGATTAATATATCCCAAGCTGACGATTTCCGTTTTCTCGAAATAACAAGGAATAATTTTCCCACAATTGATTCAGTTAAACCGAATGGTCAAGGCTATCTGGTAGCTACGCATGGCAACTCTGCAAGGGTCTACTCCGGTGAACGAAGACTGGCTGAAATTACGTAAATTCGGCTTTTGCATAACAACACCCGCCTTTACCTTGCAAGCGGTTGTTTGGGCCTTAGTAGCCAGTCAAGACAAAGTGCAGTTCGATTATAATGCCTTTAAAGAACCATTTTTTCTTGGCCTTGAAAGGTTTTACCGACACGACAAGTAAGTGGGCAACCACGATAACCTACTGCACCCTTGCCCACTTTCTCGAGCCGCAATCTCTTTTGGCGAAGAGATCCAAATACGTGCTATCCTTTATAATATTAGTGGTTATTCTATAAGTCGAAGATATTTTCTAACTTAGTAAAGCCAGAAATGAAGTTATGGGTTCTTCGCGCTAGTAGATGGCACTTAAATAATCTAGAGATTATCAAACTAGATATCCATCCTGTTTAGGTATTTTTTTAAAATAAACAGTTGTAATGGAAAGTAATAAAATTCATATGGAGTTGTAGCATCCGAAAATTTATGAATTTATAAATATTTTACAATGTTGTAGAAAGTGTTATTGATTTTTTTCCATTGTTTGAAGATTGTTCTTAAAGATACAATCTTGATCCTCTTTCAGTTCTTTGCCGAAACGAAAGCGAAATTAGGACATAAAGTAGCGTTATGTGATCTACTTATCAAACCAGTACAACGTATCATGAAATATCAGCTACTTCTCAAGGATATTCTTAAATTTACGGAACGGGCTAAGGAAAAAACGGATGTCCTTAAAAAAGCGCTTGCGGTGAGTTGCGTGAAGTTAACACCCATTCGAATGAATAACATTGTACATACACATGTAAAAAAATGTATCAGCATCAGCATAAAAGGCGTAAGTTTGCGAATTGTCTGTTTGTTAGATTAGTAATCTGGTCTTTAACACAGAAGTCACCGTATGCACGATATCAATGTATGCTGTCTCCGTCTGTTATTTTATCACAAAGAGTACTTTTCTATATTTCTCTTATGCACCGTAGATGTTGTAGTAGAGTTGATTTGTGAAAGGCTATTCTCTAAAATGAGTAGTCCCAAGTGGCCACTATGCATAAATTACTCGTAAATGTGTCTAAAAGATTTTAATTTCATATAGCGTTAGAGTAGTATTGGATTTAAGATACTTGGATGCTCTGTACTCACTGATTGTGCGGACCCAGGCATAATTTCCTTTTCTTCGGAATTTTCCTCATTTAGCGAGTCTGTTTCCCTGGAGTCCCGAGATCATCCTAGTCAAAGTCTTCTCCAGGTCCGTCACCACCCCAGGCACTTGCCGCTCTTGTTAATCGGAAGGACTTATACCACCATACGACTACTTTGGTACCAAGATGGTGGTCGGTCCGGATATTGGCTTACTGTTGGCTGGGTTTCCAAATAGAAACGTCGGAATCCTTCTCAGCTTGGGAAATCTAGCTAGGAAGACGAATCCTCGCTGTATATTGCAGCCTGGCAGCAAGGAACATCTCCCACCCACGAGGAGACGATAAATTGTTGGGAATATTGGATTACTAAGTCCAGTAATCTAGTATAGCTTTCGTTGTCTTAATTGTGTTGAAACAGTTGGAACATACTGAATTATTAAGTTCCGATCACCTGATTAGGTTTATGGTAATCGGACACATTTTCGTTTTATCGTTTTTTCCTCTTGAATTAACATACATAGAAGGAATTCTTGGCTTTGGGACGATAAACTCATATTGGTTGCGCTCATTCTAGCGTGCTAAAATCTTAATGTCTTTCCAGTATTTTCGTTGGTGAAGTGTTTGTTCGAATCATATCAAACTTTCGGGAATTTCGTTTAGGTGATGCATGTGGTACCAAAAGCTTGTGACGATATGATGCAAGTTGGACGACTTCAGAATTTTGACGGAAGCCTTAATGCTCAAGGAAAACTTCTATATCAGGTAACGTTTACTGGGAATATTTAGAGTATAGTGAGAGAATTGGTTCTTGTATGAGCATTTTTTTAATGGTTACTGTTCGTGATACTACCGAATCTGATATTTTCTGTTGTTCAGGGTACTCTTCCCATATCAGATAGTCAAGGTGGAACATCACAAAAATCGAAAGAACGTCGTATTTTCCTCTTCGAACAGTCAGTTATCATAGCCGATCATATTCCACCAAAGAAGGAGTTTGGAAATCCGATCTATATTTTCAAGAATCAGATTATGGTGAGAAGAATTGTTACAACTATACATTCTTTTTCTTTTTGTTTTTGCCACGATATAAATGTAGTTTGTGTCGAAGGAAAATTTTCATATTTTCAAGTATTATGGTCAGCACTGTTACGTTAGTTCACTATTTTTGGTGTATATATGCTGAACCCATTAACGATTACAGGTCAACAAAATGTTATTCGAACCGTCGGTAGCTGATGATCCTTTGAAATTCATTATTCGTAGCTCGGATCCCACCCAACCGACTGCATTTATTGCCACCGCTCAGACATTGGAAGAGAAAGTTGGTTCTTTGTTATTTGTATTGATTCTTGTTTATTTGTTCTTTGCAAAACTGTCCTATAAGGAGTATCCTATGGACTGATGATTTCCTTTATTTTCATTTCTATTTTTTCCTTCTCTACAAGATACATTTATCTAGCATTTCTTTGGAACGTCTCAATTATTCTCAGTACTCAACCTTGTCATAAATTTTTCTCGTTTAGTTCTGAACAAAAAGTTGCGATAAGAATTCAGTGTAGATATTTTCAGAACGAATGGGTTCGTTATATCGGTGAACAGCTTGATCAACAGAAACGAATGCTGGCTGCATTGGTGGATCCACGACGATTTATGGGTGGAGCAACAGATGACTTAAGTGGCGCATTGTCTGGCTTAGGACTGTACGTTGAAGATTTGGAGTTTTTTTTTTCGTTATAGAATCGAGTGAACCGTAAGTTTTTAGTTGATGACATTTATACGTTTACGTCAAAATTGATGAGCTTCATAGTATGTTGTTGAGTCACACACTTCTCGATAATCAGTCATCTGTTTTGTAGTCCAATATGAGGTCATTTTATAACATTAACGAGGAGGAAACAATTTTAGAGCTGCGCTAAGTTTACGTGGCGAAATTTTCGTGATTGCAATTTTAGTAGTTCGGACGGCAAGAAGTCTCCGTCTGGTGGTGTGGGTGCTGGCGCTGTGGCTGGTGGATCATCACGATTGGGATCCGGTTCGTCAAAATCTGGCTCACAAAACACCACAAAGCCAGATTCCCCGAAGAAAGAGAGCAAAAGCGGAAAACTATTTGGTTTCGGCAAGAAAACATCCGCTAAATCACCAACTTCTCCACCTGCGGTAGGCAAGTTGAAGTAATTGAAGGGAAAAAAGTACATTACTACTTGTTTTATGTGCACTCTTGTCAGTCGCACGTGATTACATCACTCCTAGTCCTGGCCATATCTCTCTGTTTCGTCTACTTACCCAAGAGTTTTTTTTTGTTTGTCGTGTTTCAGTTGATACTAGCTTTTCCTTCAGCTCACCCCACATCCCATCCCTTGATCGAGTTGAATATTGATGCCTATCGTCGACATCATGATCATCGTCACTTTTTACCCCCTTCTGACCCCATTTGCATATACAATCCCAGTTTTAGTGCCCAACTTGTCTTTGATAAGCCTTTATGTATATATCTGCTGTAATGGCTTGCGTTATTTGTACCCGTACATCCATTAGTCTATGTGACCATGTTCTTATTCAACTTTCGCCTACAAAAACTGAGTTTTTCCTTTTCATGCTATTTTGTTCAGAGCTTGTAGCCATAGTTAGCCAGTCATCATGGTACCTAGGCAGCTCCATAGGCGAATATGTTTGGCCTCAGTTTCCGTGTCCCCGGTGCCCCGTTTACGGTTAGTGTCGATTGCTCCTGAGAGATGAATACTTTATACTTACGGCAAGGTTTTAGTTATTCAAATATTTCAATGATTCATCCATTCATCTTATTCATTCATTCATTCATTCATTCATTCATCTATTCACTCATTCATTTGGTCCACATAAGTTTTCGTTGCCCTGTTACATAATCACAGTCGTCGTGACCCAGTCCAGATTTCTACTGATTCTTCCTTATTATCACCAACACCATTACCATCATCACCACCACCACCATTATCGCTAACAACGACGCTGTTGTATAATACGTTTATCGGACTGGTTTTATTAATACCAGTTTTTTTTCTTTTGTTTGAAAATATTGTGATCTCTCTCAGACAATTCGTAATCTAATAAAGGTCCTCGCTTTTAATGTGCAGCAATCGATTATAATCTTTCTAGAACTTGTGTAAAAAAAAAACTGACGAGCTTGATCATGACGGTGCTTCGTGAACAATCATCAACCGAGACAGGGATGATGTGAGGTGACTGTGAGGTGAATGGTGTGAGCAGTGTTGATAAGAAGCTTAGCTTTGTGATTTCTAACAATATCTGTTTAATTAACGGAATGATATACTAGTGATATTTAGAAGAGTTCCTTGGTTACATATGAGTTGATGGATTGCTTTGGTGTTCGCAGTGAACAAGAATATGTTTTTTTGTGACCATAGAGAGAACTTTTTATGATGGATATATGTGGAACTACAATTTTTGGGTAGAGTTGGTGAGATTTGGTAAATTTGTCATGATCTCAATGCTTTAGTTTTACCTAAGGTAACGTTTGATTCGATTTATTCCGGGAGGTGGAATTATGCAATGATGTTTGAACAGAATTGGCGGGAATTTTAGTGCAGAGAAGCTCAAGTTATCGGCTAAGAATAGAAAGACGGAAGAATGAGAAAACGAAAATTCGCTCAAAGACTAGGGTAATTTATAAGACACTCAGCATTGATGAACAACTTAGACATATGCTACACGTTCAAATTCGTTCATAGCAATGTAGAAATGACTGAACGCATAGGTGGCCTATACAACGACTTGCAGTGGTCTATCGATGTATCGAACCATCACTTTTTTGTGTTACCAAACAACTGTGGTACAAATTTATTGAAACCGAAGTGGTGTCGAGCTTTGGTTAGCCTAGTGCGCCAAATCTAACCAACAGCCTAAGGGTTTAGTAATATGGGACACCTCTAACCACTACGTACATTTTAGTGGGACTACCCAGGTGAGGTTTTTGTTGATTGGTAGGCAGTTTATTGTTTAGGATTTTTTCAGAAAACGGTTACTGAGCCAACGAATATAGTCTAGCTTTTGGACTGGAAATAGAACGAAGATCCCACTATCGATTTCGTATTAACTTCGGAGTTAATCAATACTTAAATGTGAATGTTCGCTTTATGTTCTCCAACTAGAGACTAAAGAGATGAGATAGGCTCAATTTGATGACGATTAAGCGACGGACGTCCTTGGAATCTTACGGAGTATGTATGGCTTTTCATGCAAACTAAGGAATGTCGGATGGTGGTACGGTAGAAGAAAAGCTGAAATCCATATGATAATATTACTGGTCATGGCATCATACGGCCCACTTTTCTTCGCATTATGGTCGCTTTAGTTTTTTAAATCCATTAAATTCTAGGAAATCTTTGTTCCTAGTGATTACTAAGCTACAAAAAGGGCACATGTAGCGCAGTGGTTGGAGGAGCCCAGCATTACACATGGGATTGATCCTCACTTCCCAGGCTCACCAAGCACTCCATTCCCCCGGAGTCGATAAAGAGGTACCAGACGTGTCTGGGAGAATAGCACGATACATCGATAAGCCACCATGAGTCATTGTAAAGGCCAGATATGCGTTCATTAACCTTAATAATGCTTAATGAAGTTGAATGTATGGTGCATTTCTTAGGGATAGATCAGCGCCGAGAGTTTATCCCCTATCCTTTTAGTGAACTATAATGCATGGCGAAATTGAATCTAACGCAGTAACCAGACGTATCGCAGTCCAGGCACAGATTAATTTCGTCTTATTGAACTCCGGCGACTAATGAATATCTGTTTTCCACTAACATTAGTCAATTTATCGGGTTTGTCTTTTCCCCAGTGCTGATTATCAGTTTGAAGTGAACATGCCAAATGTTTGGTTGGCCAGTTTGGGGAAAAATTCCTGTTAAATCTTACTTTGATCAAGTGAACAGAAGCTTAATTCCTTTCTTGTTCGACTTGCTCTTTTATAACCGTAACCATACATTGTCACCACGTGGTTGTCTACTGCTCAAGTGCGAATCTTTTAATCAAACGAATAAAGGCAATGTTCTAAGGCCTTTTTTTAAAGTTTTTTTAAACCTGGAATTGTTTATTTACCTTGGAATGCTACGGTATTATCGCCACTATTCGTTATCATCATCGCCATCATCGTCATCCTTATCATCGTCATTACCATTATTCGTGGCTTAGGCTTTACAATTTTGTTAAACCAAAAGTAAAGCAAATGTGTAGAAATCGATGAAAAGCTGTATCAACCGTCCGCGGCATAAAATCCAACGTGGGAAGAAAAACCGATCAAAAATCGAATTCTCAGCAATATCGATTATTCTACGACCAAACTCGACGAGAAAGTATTGCATTATCGCGTTGTCCTTATTTTTGAACAGATTCAACGTTTCTCTGAGCGTTTATACGGTGTGGCGTGTTGTGCTTATCGTCATCTACGAAAAGGTGAAATCGATTTGGAACTCGACGAAGAGGTAATGGAGTTGATACTGTTTTTTATTAAACTAGATACTCTAATTTAAACAGTAAAAAAGAAAACAACAATAGGAAGCAGTACAGACGTTTCTTCTCTCAGTAAATTCGTTTTTGACTAGCTCTTCGTTGTGTTTTTCTCACGTGACCAATCAATACGATATTGATTACATTAACAGTTGGGTGATTCGCTATCATTATTTCCCCTAACGACAGTAAATAATGCTAATTGAATAGACTTTAGCTTAGAAATGAACATTATTTTAGCAATATGTAGTACACTGGAAAGAAAATACGTTAGATGATTTCTCCAACATCTTCATTTGTATTTAAGCGTTGTTTGAATTGAAAAATTTACCTTGGCCCCTTTTTTAAAGACCTTTTGCTTCAGCCACCTAATGTGTAGGAACTAATGCCTTAATAGGGCGCATGTGGCGCAATGGTCGGAGGCACACTGCAACACACACGTGGAATCGATCTTCGCGCCCATGGCCCACCAAACCTTCCATCCCTCCGGGGTCGGCAAATTGGTACCAGAATTGTCCAAGAGGATAGCACCACCGGCTCGATACATCGGTAGGCCACCGCGAGTCATTGTAAAGGCCAGATATGCATTCAATCACCTACAAACGATGCTTAATGAAGTCGAATTCATAAGGCACCCTCAAGGATTGATCAACACCGAGAGCTTTATCCTTTTCTTAATGCCTTAATATTGGAAATGCCGTAATTACATAGTATGAATTGAAATGAAAGGGAAGCCGAAAATTACAAAATGCTGTGGAAAAATCTGGCAATCCGGAATGAAATGAGAGAAATAAATTCGAAAATGGAAAAACGATCCGAGCAAAATATTGTAGATCTCCTAGTTAAAATTCTTGGACGAATTTTAACATGACTGAGAAGAGACGTTTTTCATCTACGTGATCAGTCTTATTTCATCTTTTAAGTTTTGCGTGGCGCAGTGGTTGGAGGCGCCACTGCGACGTGCACTTCGAATCGATCCTTGTACCCATGGCCCACCAAGCCTTCCATCCCTCCGAGGTCGGCAAATTGGTACCAGATTTGTCTGGGAGGATATTAGCAATGGCTCGATGCATCGGTAAGCCACCGCGAGTCATTGTAAAGGTCAGATATGAATTCAATCACCAACGATTTTCGATGAAATCGAATGCTTGACGCATCCTTCAAGGATTGATCAACACCGAGAGCTTTTTTTAGCTTTAAGTTTTGTGTGTTGTGAGTTATACGCGACTCACACTGTTCAACATTTTTTGACGATCTTCCATTAGTTGTCAAGGAATATCGAGGAATGCTTCCTTCGCATAATTTGTGATATAAAGATAAAATGATATTAAAGGATCTAATAAAATCCATGTCCATAAAAATGATAGATAATGTCTTAGTCATTGTGTACGTAGTATATTCAGAAGGGAATTTTTTACTCGTTGAAAGATAGAATAGAACTGTGGTTTAGAAAAAGTTTATTCACCCAACATAATTGGATTGGATGCTCAGCACTTTGTTTTGGTTCGGGAGTTCTTCCTCAATTTTGCGATTCGATTGGATTCCCCTCACTACTGTTCGTAATCTGTTCAATACCGAAAATCATCAGAATTTAAGCCAGTGAAACGAAAACGATAATATGCTTGTTATCATGGAAATCTTATCGTCTTATATTGTTATGTTAGCCGCATAAATCAGTCTTTCTGTTTTGTTTAAGCCAAAGGGAGAATTTCCACATGTACTTTTCATGTGAGAGAATGATTTTTGGCTCTTAAGAACGTTTAAAGCAGCAATCATCAAGAAAAATAACATCTACGAAATGTTGAGAATTAAGGTCGAGATACTGGATGTCTGCTGTGGATTTTCCCGTGTTTTAAAGATGAATGGTACTGTTGGCATCGTGCCAAGCTACTTCTTAGGCTTAGCTGATATTCCTGGAGACACACTTGCTGAACAAATAAGGTTTTTTTCTAGTAACATTTTCTTATTTTACAAAATTGAAAGTGGTGAAATTATTACAAGAGCATATCGGGTTCGGATGGGTTTGCGTTCGACCTCCATTCCCACAACTCCTTACGGCGGTTTACGTCATCATAGTGGCTGAGGGATATTCCTGCATAGGGAACTATAATGTGCAGCTTGGTTTTATCTCCTCATCGGGATCTCTAAAGATGAGGATTTCGGCATCATTATTCAGAAACCCTGCTATAAGTAAACCTAACGAAGAGAGACTTCATCGAGCTTCCAGCGATGACTTTTTCGCTAAAGAGACTTAAAAGGGAACTCATTTAAAAAATGTAATGCTGCTTTGACCACTTCATTGAGTAACGCGTGTTCCTGTGAGTTGTTCTGGAGTATGAGTTGGGAAAAATGGAGTTTACAAATTCACGCTTGGATACCCGATGATTCACCGTTTTCCTGATAAGCAGACACGAGTTCGTTATTACACTGTATATTCACAAATGCAAGAAAACAGTGAATTATTGGTCCATGGTGTGGTTAATAAGAAGTCAGTAGCGGGATTTCCTACTTGGTAAAGAGGGGAACTACAGGTAACACAAGTGAAGTGTTAATTAATATTGATTGGTACTAGTGTTTTACTACTATGTGAAGGAAAAATATAGAAAATACTTACTTGATACTTGGACGGCCCGTCAATACTAGTTGCGGACCTCAGCATAATCACCATTTTTCGAAGACTTGCTGGTGAAGCCATTGTGGTTTCCTGGAATTCCGAGGACAACCTGGCCAAAGTCTGCACATGTCCTCAGAGGCAGTCGCCGTCCTTGTGGATCACAGGAAGATTTGCCGAAATGCGACTAGTTTGATACCAAGACGGTGGTGGATCACGGTACTGGTTTACCCTTAGCTAGGCTTCCTGATAGAAACGCCGGACTCTTTCTCAGCTTGGCAGACCCTGCAGGGAGGACGAATCCGACGGCTGTACATCGCAGTCCGACACCCAGGAACACCTCCCAGCCACGATGAGGCGGTAAACCGTTGGGAGGTATATGGAAAGTAATTTAAAAAAGAGGAAATCACGAATATAGTGAACATATCTTGAAGTTATCGTCGTATGTGGCACACAGTTGTTGACGAAGTGGTTCCAACGGATTACGCCATATCTCCACTTACAAACAACCATACATCACCACCAGCTGATAAAATGTCGGTGGTAAGTGAATTATTTGACTTCTTTAGTGCAAAAACAAGCTTTTCGCCAGCAAAGGGATTTCGTAAGTTTATTAAAATGGTGACCAGAAGTACAAGCATAGTGATACTGAGACACACGTAAAGCTCGGACCTCAGGTCAGATTCGAACCCACAATTATCACTTCCCGTGATTTCGCTTGTTACCTATCCTACCATTGAAGCCCTCGCTTTGCCTTTCCCTCAGCGAGTTTTTTACCCTTAAGTGAACCTCAGAAGCGGTATTCGAGGTTTTCAATCTGGCCTGGGGTCTGAGTTTTGCGAATGTCTCATCATCGTTGTGGTTATATTTCACATACTATCCTACCATAAACAACAGTAGGCAGTAAATAAAAAGTTACACACGATAACTAGAAACTTTAGTAAATTCTGAATTACGCTTGTTTATCCGAATCTGGAATTTTTCTATGTTCTTAAAAAAATTAACAATGTGAAGAAAGCGGTAGTGATCACTGTAAAATGCAAAAATATCTGGAGTGGTTCTTCATGTCCTAATCTTTCTTTTTCTCGATGGAAAACATCCAAGAACTTTCAGAGCATTGGAAGCTTCTCTACACTGATTGAACTGCATATAGTCTTCTAGATAGAGAAATGTGTGTGTTTAAATTGTAAAAACGTTCAAAATTTTTTCTACCAGGCTGTTTTTTTCGATTCAACCCAATGAAGCAATTTCGTTTTCAAGGTTTTGGATAGACGTCCACTATTCGTCGTACCATTAACGGACCAGCGAGTGCGTGAAGGAGATACTGTTGTGCTCCTTCCTCAGATCAGTTCAGTGACAGCGTTTACGGTCGTTTGGCGTGGGCCAGCTGTTCAAGCAGGACGGGCACAGATAAGTGTGAGCAACCGAAACCATCGAGCAGTCATTTAACTCTTTACAATGTTTTTTTACTGTGGTTATCGTAAAGTAAACCCTGTGTTCATTTCACCGTTGATATTCGTTGGTTGATACACATCTCCTGACCAAATTGTTTGGTTGACATCAGATTCAGCACGACATTTCGACTATTCTTATTTGTCTTTCTATTTTTTTTACTGAGTTTTGTTAATCCGAAATAGATCTCCTTTTTTGATTTTCATGTTTTACTTTTTTGATTTTCATGTTTTAATGTTTTATATGATTATAGAGTGATAACGAATCAACCCGTTTAACGATTTTTGGTGTCTCGGCGATTGATGACGGAGCGTATTCAGTAGTGGCTGAAAATGAATACGGTATTACATCGTCACTTGCTGTGATCAGTGTCATAACTCGCCCAGGTAAACTGAAGTACTGTAAAGGAACATTGTGTTCAAATTATTGTCGTTCTATACTTTCATTATAAATAAAAACATAAGCCAAGTATGGAAAAAGTGTCAACAGAATTTGTTTAATATTGTTATATTATTATGAATATGATTAATATTAATGCCGTTATTAATAATAGCAATGAAGCGAATAGAACAATGATGATGTGCGTAGTGTAGTGATGCCGAACATCAGGAACAAGGTGCTGGTTTGATCCTAGCCCAGGCTCACCAAGCCTCTCATTGCTTCGGGGTCGAAAAATCGACAACGGGCTTATTTGGGAAAAAAATCGTTCTTTGCAGTCTAATTGGGAACACCTCGGTCCGACTATCTCAAGACTCGAATTTGAGGATGAAAAAAATTCTCAAACAGCGGCCGAATCCATATGCAAAGAGTTCAAAGATTTTTGTAGTTGGCTGACGGAAAAAATTGAATCGAGAGCAAGAGTTACTGAGATTCACACAGTGTGATAGACATGATGTCGGGTCGTGTAACAGTGCATAATAAAATAATAATAATTGTAGTAAAAATAATAGTGATAGCGATTATTTTTTTTTGCACGATCCGCTTCCATTGTTCATATATATTGTGCCAATCACAACATTTTCTGCTTTCGATTTGCTTCCTTGAAGCCATCGTCTCTTCGAACCTTCCACTTGTAGGCTTCGGGGCTCCTTAACTATTTTTGTCGTCATTGTGCGTCGGCTAACCCTATCCTTCCTAAAATCTTGGAATGCCCGTGGTAAGGTGTTCCCAAGTTCTCACCACAGGCAGTTACACGTTTTTTGTATCAAAGGGGGCTATCAGGAGCAGCCATGTCTGATACTAGTTCCATTACTCCGAAAGTGCAGGAAGTTTGGAGAGCTCACAGCGGTGTGAAGCCAGCAGCTACCTTGAACGAGCGGCATAACTGCCACTGCCCAACCCGCGTCGTTCTAATCACATTAATATTAATAGTGGAGCATGATTGAGCTGACGCAAGGATGGTACGGAAGCTTTTGAGTTAATTATAAATTAGGAGTGTTGTATTGCAATATTAGATTTCATGTTCAAAATAGTGAAAAATATCTTGCTATTAGTGATTCAGATGCTCCTACATCCATCATATGTGAAAGAATAGGCCGAAATGCCCTTTTACTCAATTGGAAACCTGGTCCTCGGCGTGGTTCATATTACTGTGTGGAGTTCAAAAGTGAAGGTATACCATTTTTTTCGTTGTTATTATCACATCGCTAAGTCAGCAGTAAAATAAGGAGAAAAAGCTTACTACTAATCGACAAAAATGCGTAATGTGGTCTGGGGAAAAATATGGCACGAAAAATCAATATATATCAAATTAATATGCATCGGCGATGACCTCTGTTAGCGTATGCTGGTGTTTGTTAGTTATAGCTCATTTTTTCTAGATATGGCATTTTTTCGTTGTGCAGCATCTGCGCTGCGTTCAACGACAATATCGCTAAGAAATTTTCGTCCAGTACGTTACAGTATTCGCGTATTCTCCTATAATTATCATTTTCGTAGTTATCCGTCCGATACAGTGGAGGTGGATTTTCGACAAGATGCCAGTATACTTGTAAGTAGTTGTGGTTTTCGAATTAATCAGTTAATCATGGTGTACTTTGAAATTAGTGACTAGCATTAGTAATAAGTACAATGATCAAGTTAGCGGCAAGTTCATAGCAATGGTAAGAGGTATCCTGCAATACTAGGTTCGATTACGCCTCCATTCTAGGCTAAGCTGCTCATATTTTAGGTGCCAAATTGGCACCACACTTGTCTGGAAGGATAGAAACACTGACTTAACATATTAACGGACCTCTGCGAGTCACTTTATAGATCAATTATGGACTCGATAGACTCTTTAATGCTACAAGTGTGCAACCGTGGAAAATCGGTTTTACACTTAACTGTTTTAAATTTGTGACGATGTAAATTCAAAAATACATGACGTCCGTCCTTTCGAGCACCCTTGAAACCCAATCAGGAATATAGTGGGTTTTCTTAGTTACTTTTTTAGAAACCAGTAGTCAACAAAACTTTGTGAGTGGAATGGGGTAAAACTCTGCTCCGCACTTTTTTCTATCAGCACACTCATATCTGATATGGTGAGCAAAAGTGAGCTAGTGCCTTTTAATGCCAAGAAGAACTCATCAAAGAAGCTAATTACTCCGAATACCTTCGCACACGTTGCTACGGATCGATATATCGATTACTTTAGGAGAACGCTCTGGAACTTCCGAATTCGCTAATTCTGGGTGGAATTTGTGGTGAAGGACGTTTTTCCGTTGTTCACGATGCTGTACATCAAAAGATTCAAAAAATTATTGTTGTGAAAATCCTCCATGAAAAAGTGACCAAAGAGGATGTTGAAAGAGAGGTTCACTCAAAACATTCACTTTTTAACAACGAGAATTTCATTAAGGATTTGCCGAAAACTATAACTAAAAGTTTTGTATTCTTTAAACACTTTCTTTAGTGATTGATCGTTTGCTTGCTACTTATGCCAAATTAGTGCGTAACGCAGTGGTTTAGAGGTGCCCTGCAATACGTTCATGTTCGTTTCCTCAAACCCGCACGTTTGGCTATCAAAGCCTTCTAATCCCCCGAGGTCGGGAAATTGCTATCAGTGTTGTCGGGGAGAACAAAAGCTGATTTGATAGACCAGTAGGTCCTCCTAAGTCATTTAAAATTCTAAATATGCATTCATTCTTTTATACAATGTTATTAGGATGCAACACATGAAATATCCGATTTCAAATGTAAATTTCAAATGACCATAGCTTTTTTTATATTGAATCTTATCTATCGAAATACGCACGATTAAAATTAGCACATTTTTTCCAACAAGGGACATAATTATTTATTCCAGCTGACTAAAATTCTGCAGCTCTGGAAGCGATTAATTCGTTGAAGGTATTCTTGCGTCATCGTGGTTGGTGAAGCATTTCTCGCGCAAGAAGTTGTCAACGTCCTTGAAGAAGAGGTAGTCTGTAGGCGAGATCTCTGTTGAGTATGGTGGATGAGGCGGTTTAGTAGCCCAATTCGTTAAACTTCTGCAGCGCTGGTTCCGTAGGAGTAGAAAAGGATTGGTCCTTTATGCTGAATAATGGCGGTCGTTGTTGTTGGAATTTACGGTGCATTTCGTCGATTTGTTGGCATTACTACTCTTCGTAATCGTTTCGCTCGGTTTCAAAAAGCTGTGATCGATCAACCCGGCTGCAGCTCACAAAACGTCCGCGGCCTTCCTTAACTTTGAGGTCGAAGTCACTAGAATTTCCGGCACCACCTTCGCACTGTTCATTCACCAACACTGTCTTCACCCCAAACTTGATGATATTCCGTGCCCCTGCTGGGGTTTTATGTCCACTCTTCCACTCGTACAAAAAAGGGCACGAATATCACGTAAAGTTAAAGCCTATAAAAGTGTTAAAATACTAAGCCCTAAAAGACCAGTACTAGTAGAAAGGCGGACTTTCTGCTTTAAAAGCATGCATAAAACATACATAAAGATCAGGATTTTCATTTAAAAAATTACACGACAAATTAATACAGTAAAATCGGACATTTCATATGTTACAACCTAATACCAGTGGAGTCGAATGCATGGTGACTACCAGGAGATTAATCAACCCGAAAACTCTTTTTCTTCATCTTTTTATAAGAGCCTACATGTACCACTTACATGATAGTTGTAGACTGTTCGAATTAGAGCGCTTGTTCATATTTTTTCATATTCAGTCATCGCTGTAAAGTTGGGCTGATACCTGTGGCGATCTTCATCTGGCTAACGATGTTTACATTCACTCTAAAGTACAGTAGGACAAAATTTAGGGTTTACTACGAGTTAATTCTATCTCAGAACCAACTGCTATGAATTGAATTCAATTGTAATTTATTTTGTGATTTGCCTTACCTTAGACTGGTGACTTTGAAGTGTTTACTGACAACCGGTTATGGTTTCGATCCGTCTGTTAACTGACCCACGTGATGACTGCGTCTGATTGCACCGTACCATTCTGTCATAAGCACTCAGTTTGTTACTTCAATTATATTTGGATATTTACAATAACCTCGTATTGGCTTATCAGTGAAACAGGGTACATCGATCATTCATACTGATGCCAAACGAAAATCAGTTCACAACATTGCTCTACTTGTATTTCCATCGGAAAATTGGCTAGCTAACCCTCCATCTAATAATCAAATACTATTTTCGAAAACATGTATTTTCCGCACATGACTAAATGTTACAGATATTGCACGAATCCTTGCGCGATTCGTTTCCCCGCATACATTATCCAGAAAGGCCTTCGAATTGTTTTTTTGGGTCTGAATTGCGCCGCTGCTTGAAGATTTTTGGTCTTATTTATCGTTCGCTGAATGCTGATTGAGTAGATTTCTCTGGAATACTCAGATAACTAGGCTGGGAACTCCGCGCTCTACACTACAGGCAATTGTCACCCTTCTTGTGTCGAAGCCGTTTCATTGGCCACAAAGAAATAGGAAGCTTGATTGGCTCAGTGCTTGTTCGAAACCGAGCGTTGTGCGTATTGACCGGCATCACTACAACTGTGCAACCTACACACTCTAGATAACATTACTTGCATAAAGAGACCGGGAAGTGATGTCATAGTATATTTACAGGTAACAGTTCTCTCCACTCTTCACCACTCGTTAATGCCTCGGTTCAAGGGTGCTTTCACTTTCAATGGTTGCTATTGTATTGCAATGAAGAGGTAAGCCTGAGTGCTTTTTTTCCAGCCTCGAAGATATGAAAGAGAACTACGAAGCGCGCGAGGATATAAATGTTGCCGAATTTCTGGGATTTGGTAGACATTCTATACTTAATTGCGTTACTGGATCTTCGTTTACTGCTAATAACATTCGAGTTCAACTGAGGGTCCTTGTAAAGTTGTTTCAGTTTGTCGTTTTGCCACATGCCCATAGGTTCGATTCCGCCTCCATCCTGGGCAAACCAAGCTGTTCATTTCTATGTGCCACAAAATTGTCAACAGACTTGTCTGGGAGGATGAA